ACGTCAACAAACTGCTGGAGTCGAAGGAAGGCAAGAGGCGAGCGGTTGATTCCTCTCATGTTCGGCATTCGGGCATCAAAGAATTTGCTTAGAGTAGTCAATAGTTTATCTTCGTTGCGGTTACATTTAGAGATGCCGTACTATGCTGTTGCCAAGGGAAAAAAGCCCGGAGTGTATGCCACATGGTGAGTTGATACCTTGTTTTCTCTCGTTTTCTGTTAACATCTGTTCCTCAAATTAACAATAGTTATCTTTAACTGACTCTTCAAAGGACTCAAACCTCGTATTGAATACATGTATATGCATTCAAGTAACTATTACTCGTATAAATGAACCAAAAAGCAGTTGACAAAGGAAATGAAAGATATGAGAGAATACCAAAAAAAACGACCTTTAATTTCTAAGCACGTGTTTGAAGTTTGTAGAGTCATAACAAATATCTTGTCAGTATACAGAGATTAAGTATTACATTATTGATGGTAATTCATTTAGAGTAAAGTCAGGTATGTCTGTAATCCATGGTCCTTTTTAGGTTTTTATTAAATACAAATTTCTTTTAAAAGCATGAAGATATTTCAGAACTATTCAACTTTATGGTCAAGATATTAAAAGGTTTGGGTAAGGACATATGTGGATGCCCATTTGGAACCATTTATGTTTAGTGACATAACAGACTTCTACCTCTATCCTAACATTTGCAACTTTATACCATCTTATTCATAGTCAGTAAGGTAAAAAACAATTTCATTGCTTAACCCATTCGTTTCGGGTGTCACATATATGAGACACCGGAAAAAATAAACATTGCCAGTGTGACGCTGTATCGGGTCTCCGCTCCGACACAGCAGCGGCGCGTGGCCGGGCAGGCAGACAGACTCCGGGGAAGCTCTGCCCGCCGATTTTTGTAGCCGCTCTGATTTTATTATTTGGCTACAAAATGTTCCCGGCATGAGTGGGTTAAAGACGTTTGTGTACTTCATGTTCCATGCTTCTCTTTCTTTGTTCCTTCCCTTCTTAGCAAATGTACTGCATTCTGTATCTTACAAGCAGCCCAATATGTTGGAAAGATGCGCACATGCTATAGAGGCTGTGTGCGTTGGAATATCAAATGTAAACGGACAAAGCAAATTATCACTCTGGCTCCACAATGTTATCAATGTTATTATCATCATGCACATACATAGTAAATTACTTTGAAATTTGGAGTAAGTGGCTACACATTCTTAAGAAATCTCGTTTAATCCCAGGTACAGTTTTGGTGTTTTTCTTTTTTTCTTTTTTGCAAATTGTATGGAATTTACATTTTTGTGAAAAAATTATATTTCTAAGAAGTCTAAGGTTGATAGAAAGAAGATAAAAAAGATAGGACTGCCTCAGTACATTTATTTTGTACTTTTTTTTACTGACTTCATATGATTTACCAAAAGTTTCAGCCTGAGAATTGCAGAATTATCTACCATCAATAGGTAGATGACAGTGAACAGAAGAAAATGAGGCTATATTTGTTAATTTTCATTGAATACTCTACCAGTCCTATAAGATTTTGAGGAAAATGATAGTCCTGTGGTGCTGAAGTTATTGCGCTTTTTTTTTTTTTTTTTTTTTTTTTTTTTTTCTTATTTTTTCTGGCTCTTTGAATATTTTTTCACTCTTGCTCCTTTGCTATTATGTTGCCAAGTTATCATGTAATTGCTATGAAGATATCTGCTCTCTTTTATCAAATACTATACATTATTTCAATGCCTGAGATAGAGTATCAGTCATAGAAGTACATTCAGCATGAGATGGGTCTATGCCATGACACTGGGTTCCTGTTGTGAAATGACACAGAAAGGATTGTTTAATGGAAATTTAGATACAAAGATTATTTGTCAAAGAATATAGTCTTTAAAATTTGAAGTCCAGTCACACCATATTATGATTTGCGGTGAATAATGTTTATTGTAATGTTCATTATTATTATGTTTATTATATTAAGAAAACAAATTAGTATGTTTGCCCTGTTTAAAACTTGAAATAATTAGTTTGACTTAACAGGAGAGAGAGAGTGAGAGAGACAGAGACAGAGACAGATAAAGATTGAATGAGAGGGAGAGAGATTGAGTGAGAGGGAGAGAGATTGAGTGAGAGGGAGAGAGATTGAGTGAGAGGGAGAGAGATTGAGTGAGAGGGAGAGAGATTGAGTGAGAGGGAGAGATTGAGTGAGAGGGAGAGAGATTGAGTGAGAGGGAGAGAGATTGAGTGAGAGGGAGAGATTGAGTGGAGGAGAGAGATTGAGTGAGAGGGAGAGAGATTGAGTGAGAGGGAGAGAGATTGAGTGAGAGGGAGAGAGATTGAGTGAGAAGGGAGAGAGATTGAGTGAGAGGGAGAGAGATTGAGTGAGAGGGAGAGAGATTGAGTGAGAGGGAGAGAGATTGAGTGAGAGGGAGAGAGATTGAGTGAGAGGGAGAGAGATTGAGTGAGAGGGAGAGATTGAGTGAGAGGGAGAGAGATTGAGTGA